TATATATATATATGTATGAGCCTGTGTATAGCTGTACTGGAGGCACACCAGTCCGCAGCGCTATTTCGAAGTCAGGGATGGAAATAACAGAGAGAGAGAGAGAGAGAGAAATACAGCCACAGAAGCAACGGCTACGACGATGACGAGAAGAGAATCAACAAGAGTGGGCAGGTCCGCCCAGAGACGGATACAAACACACACACACACACGCAGAGAGATCGAGAGATAGAGAGAGGAGGGCTCCTTCCGCACCGAAATATTCGTCCCCCACGTTGTTTGTTAGCTACAACGTCTGCTGCCCATGCTGCTGCAGAGCTTCACTCCTCCTGCCTCCTCATCCCCCTCCTCCTCCTCCTCCTCCTCCTCAATCAGCATGCTCTCCTCTTCCATATCTCTTCTCTGGTTGGTTTTCCCTTTTCTTTTTCCCCCTACTCGCCCCCGTCTCGGTGTTCTACACGATGTTGACATACTCGTGGACGCGGTTCATCATGCGCTGCACGATGCAGTCGGCGATCCACTGCAGGTTGTTGATCTCCAGCTCCTTCAGCTTCACCCACGCGTAGAAGGCGCCGTACTGGAACTGTCGCGTCATGGCGTCCTTGTACATCACCACGGACATCTCGACGAAGCGCTTCTCCAGCGACTGCCCGCTCGCGTTGCCGACGCCGGCGCCGCCCCTGCTGTCGTCGAATATCTCGTGCAGGTCGGCGAAGCGGCGCAGCCGTTCGCGCAGCTGCTCGATGCTGTCCGCCTCCGCGATGTCGTCGTGGATGTCGACGAGCGAGCCGACGTTCGGGAACAACTTGCGCCGGTCCGCCGCGTGCATCTCGCGCAGCCCCATCGTGTTGGCGGCGAACGTCAGCACCGCGCGGTCCGCCTCGAACTCGAGCAGCGGGCACATCACCGCCGCCGTCTCGCCGCCGAGCGCGCAGCACAGGTCGTAGAACTGCTCGTAGTAGTGCTTCATCAGCACGCCGCGGATGTACTCCACCGACAGCTCGTCGAGGTCGCGCTCGAAGTCGCCGTCGGCGCTGAAGAAGCGGCCGATCGGGCTGTCGATGAGCACAACGTCGAACATCTCCCGCACGTCGGCCGCCGCGGTGAGCGACGCGAGCTCCGGGAACCAGCCGAGCGGGTGGCACTTCGTCAGCAGCTCGAGGCTCTCGCGCCCGCTGCGCTTCGCGATGATGAGCTTCAGCACGTTTGATATCATGTGCTCGTACGCAATGAAGTCGAGGAACTGCGACAGCGGCGGCGTCGCCCACGCGCGCAGCTCACGCATCTGCCGCACGAGGTGCTCCTGCGCCCGATCGACTATCACGCGCGACGTGAGCTGGCTGTCCTGCTGCAGGAAGTTGCCGTAGTCGGTGACTTGCATCTGCGACTTCATATCGCTGAGGGTGTCGCACTGCGCGAGGTTGCTGTACTCCTCCTGTCTGAGGAAGCCGTCCTTGTAGCCGTGCACAATGGCCTCGAGGCATCCATCGTGCACGTTGAACCCTAACATTCCACGGCTCATGCTGCACTTACGATTTTATTCCTTGTCCTTCTGTCGGTGTGTGGGGCTTGTTTTGCTGCCTGTCTGTCCCCCTCTCCGCCCCTGCTCTCCTCTGCTCTTGGCTTCTTTATTTAAAAAGAATTTCGCTGCTTCTCTCTCCCTAAATATATA